AGGTTGATGCGAGTAAACAACGTCAATTTGCTAGTTGCGATTCTGCTTTTGTCCCTAAGATAAGTGAAATATTTTTATGGCATTATAGAATGGGTCACCCCAATTTTCAATATCTGAAACGTGTATTTCCCTCTATCTTTTTGAACAACACTCATGCTGACCTTCATTGTGAAATTTGTGAACTTGCAAAACATCAACGTTCCTCGTTCCCAATATCNTGCCATGATTCACAGTGACCTATGGAGACCCTCACAAACCCCGAATCGTACATATACTAAATGGTTTGTTACTTTCATTGATGACCATACTCGTATCTGTTGGGTCTATCTGCTAAAAGAAAAGACCGATATTCACTCAGTTTTCCTCAATTTTCATTCAATGATTCAAACTCAATTCCAAACACGTATTGAAATTCTGCGTACGGATAACGGCACAGAATATTTCAACACTACCTTAAAAAACTATCTCCAAGAGAATGGAATTATTCATCAAAGTTCTTGTGTTCACACTCCCCAACAAAACGGAGTTGCCGAACGTAAAAATAGGCACATTCTCGAAGTTGCCCGTGCCCTAATGTTCACTATGAATATGCCTAAAACCTTCTGGGGAGATGCCATTTTGACTTCAGCCTATCTTATAAATAGAATGCCAAGTCGCATCCTCTCATTCAAATCTCCTCTCCAAAAACTTCTACATTTTTTTCCTCACTCCCGTCTTCACTCAACCTTACCTCTAAAAGTGTTTGGGTGTACAGCTTTTGTCCATATTCATTCACATCATAGGACTAAGCTAGATCCCCGTGCTCTTAAGTGTGTACTGATTGGTTATTCTCCTACAAAGAAAGGTTATAAATGCTATGATCCTACAACCAAAAGGGTCTTTGTTAGTCTTGATGTCACATTTTCTGAGAAAACTCCATACTTTCAAACAGCCTCTCTTCAGAGGGAGAATGTCAGTAAAGATGAAGATCGGTTCTTGAAAATTGATCTCTCTTCTCCCCTAGAATCCATCCCAAACACTGAACCTACTACATCTTGTTCTAATATGCCATTTGCAGA